GAGAATGGGAACCATGCCTGGATTTGAATCTGTCAACTGCCTGAAAAAAATGTCTTGGAAGCTTTATCCAGTACTAGAGCTGGGAGGAAGAAGAGGAGGAGGAGCAGCAGGAGGAGATAGATGAGAAGGAGGAGGAGGAGGAGGAGGAGGAGATAGATGAGATAGATGAGAAGGAGGAGAAGGAGAAGGAGGAGGAGGAGATAGATGAGATGGAGAAGGAGAAAAAGGAGGAGGAGGGGGAGGAGGAGGAGGAGATAGATGAGATAGATGAGAAGGAGAAGGAGGAGAAGGAGAAGGAGATAGATGAGATGGAGAAGGAAAGGAGGAAGAGGAGGAGATAGATAGATGAGAAGGAGGAGAAGGATAGGGAGAAGGAGGAGAAGGAGATAGATGAGATGGAGAAAAAGGAGGAGGAGGGGGAGGAGATAGATGAGATAGATGAGAAGGAGAAGGAGATAGATGAGATGAGATGGAGAAGGAAAAGAGAAGGAGAAGAAGGAGGAGATAGATGAGAAGAAGGAGAAGGAGGAGAGGGAGAAGGAGGAGAAGGAGATAGATGAGATGGAGAAGGAGAAAAAGGAGGAGGAGGGGGAGAAGAAGAGGAGGAGGAGATAGATGAGAAGGAGGAAGAGGAGAAGGAGGAAATAGATGAGATGGAGAAGGAGAAAAAGGAGGAGGAGATGATGGAGGAAAAGAGGATGATGCTGGTGGTTTAGCATCAATTCAAGTTTTATCAAAAGGTGGCTTCCTCTTCCTTCTTCCTCTCCTCTTCCCCCACCCCTTCCTTTTTCTCCTTCCCCTTCTCCTTCTCCTCTAGGCATTGATGAGCCCCCCAGAATAAAAAGAAAAAAGAAAGAAAAAAGAAGACCACCGAATTGTCCCAAGGCCCTTACTTTGGGTCCCACCATCAAGACCAAGCAAACGGAGCCAAGGCCCTCAGTGGCAGGGACAGGAGCATCGGCCTCTCCCCACCGCTGCTGCTCTGCAACAGCTGGAGTCTGTAAAGATGCAGGGGAAAATAAACAGCTGCCAAATTTAGCAACCACTCTTGTTTTTTTTCTTTTCATGTTTTTTTTTTAAAACAGTCTAAATTGGGGACCCTCCGCACGTCTGACGGTGGGGAGAAGTTGGCCGCCGTGTGCCAAAAGAGGGTCTCCTTCTGCTGGATCCAATCCTCGAACGTAGTTTTGGGGGACGACCACCCACGTCTCTCGGTCCCCCCTCACCTGCCTCCCTGCTAAGCCGAAACCTCTAAACATTCATTTTTTCTCTCAATAAGAAGCTGTCCTTTGACACCTAAATATTTTGCTTCTCCTTTACGGGAGCGCCTTGAGGAATCTGGCTGTTTTGGTGGAGTGAGAGAAAAACATGTCCTTAAAAGGAACCAAACTCTCTCATTCTTCCTCTAAAACACGATTGATGATGCCACCTTCGGAGATGGAAGGAGGAGGGTGGCCCAAAGTTACAAGACTGTCTTGGATGTAGACAAGGAACTGAAGCAGGAGACTTGCGATTGTGGAGCCCGTTGAAGGTGACCCAGAGACCTTGAGGGGGAGAGGCTATCAGCTGTGGTGCACCAGAAGACACCAACCAACAACCAACCAATCAACCAACCATCAACTAACCAACCAACAACAACCAACTAACCAACCAACAACCAACAACTAACCCACCAACAACTAACCAACCAACCAACAACAAATCAACCAACAACCAACAACTAACCCAACAACCAAAAACCAACCAACCAACAACTAACCAACCAAACAACCAACAACTAATCAACCAACAACCAACAACCAACCAACAACTAATCAACCAACATTATTCGCCATTAGTCAATTGCAAAAGGGGGCCTTACTAGGAACCGCTTCCATCCTGCGACGAGATCTGTAATACCATCAAACATCCACATCTGCCTATCCCAGGTCCTTGGGAAGGACTCAGGTAGACAAAAATGCCAAATCCAGTCTGAACATCTGGCTGACTGTGCAATGATTAATAATAATAATAATAATAATAATAATAATAATAATAATAATAATAATAATAATAATATTTTTTGCAATTGACTAATGGCGAATTTGTCAATGCCGATGGAATTCAAGTGGTGCTCCAGTTGTTTTGGGATTGCACCCAAGGCACCTCTTACTATTGGTACGACCCTTGCTTGCTTTTGCTACTATTATTATTATTAATATTATTATTATTATTATTATTATTATTATTATTATTATTATTATTATTATTATTATTATTATTATTATATACACATACATACAGTGATTTAAAAGTGTGGGTGTATTATACATATATACATATATACTTACATACATACATACACATATATATATATAAACACACACACACACACACACACACACACACACAAGTACGAGGATTTCTTCCGAGCACCCATGTGCAGGAAAGCGAGCCAGTTTTTCCTTTCTTCTTGACATATTCCTTTTTCCCCTCAAAGATGTGGCTTTTTAGGTGCCTAGAGGGATCCGTTCTCCACCTGCTGCTACAGATTACAAATCTCCCGTTTTGTTCCACGCCGTTATTAATGACTGCGCATTAAAACCTGGAACATATGTCTTTTTCTGTGCCTCTTTCTCCTCCCGAGGTCCTCACTCTGCCCCCAGAGCAACAAAAGTGTGACAGAGAACATTTCCAAGCCGAGTATTAGTTCCAGATGCCTCCTAAGACACGGTCAATTTGAACATCACCCCGTAAAAAAACCGCACATCTCCGACTTTCAAAGGCAGAGAGACCCTTTCGGTCGTCGTGATCTAATCTTCTGGCTTCACGGAGGCCTCACTTGCAACTCCTTCAGCAGTTGGGGGGGGAAGATTTGCCTGACACACCTCTGTCTCTCAGCTACACCCTGTTAGTAGTGGACACCTTGCCAAGTAGCAGATCCGATGCATTTGTTACAAGGCATCTTTGGCCCTTTGCTTTGGTTCAGGAATTCAGAGGGCCGAAGAACCGAATAGAAGAGAATAACGAAGTTGGAAGGGACCTTGGAGGTCTTCTAGTCCAACCTCCTACTCAGCCAGGACACCCTACACCGTTTCAAACAAATGGCTGTCCAGTCTCTTCTTAAAAGCCTCCAGTGTTGGTGTACCTACGACGTCCGGAGGTAAGTTGTTCCCCTTAATTGTTCTCACAGTTAGGAAGTTTCTCCTTCGTTCTAGGTTGCTTCTCTCCTTGGTTAGTTTCCATCCGTTGCTTCTTGTCCTGCCTTCAGGTGCTTTGGAGAATAGCTTGACTCCCTCTTCTTTGGGGCAACCCCATAGATATTGGAAGACTGCTATCATGTCACCCCTGGTCCTTCTTTTCACTAGACTAGACATACCCAGTTCCTAAAACTGGTTTTTTTATATATATATATTTAGCCTAACCATCTCTGTTGCTCTTCTCTGAACTCTTTCCAAAGTTTCTACATCTTTTTTTTATAAGGGGGCGAACAAAACTGGAGGCAATATTCCAGGTGTTGGAATACGGTATCCATGCCTTTGATCAGTGGTGGGATTCAGCCGGTTCGCACCAGTTTGGCAGAACCGGTAGCTAATTTTTCATCGCCCGGGCCCAGAACGGACTTCCAGAAGCGGCATCCATGCAGAGAACCGGTTGCTCGCCTATTTGAATCCCACCACTGCCTTTGATACAGGGTTGAGTCTGAGTATATAATATAATATAATGTATATAATATAATGTTCTGTCACTGGAGGGTCTCTCCTCCAGGCGCCCATCTCACAGACACCAGTCAGAGGGGACGGGGACGGGGGGGGGGGCAACTTGCAGATTGGCCTCTACGTTGTCATCTGCGGGACTTGTCCAGGAGAAACATCTCGCCCAACATGGAGGCTTTGCTGAAAACAGCAAAGAGCGAAGCTTTTTCACGGATGAGTTTGCACAGCATTAATACATGACAGGTCTCCTGGCTTCTATTCTCCTTTGGCAGAAATCCTGCATGAAAATATAAACTTTCTTGGATGGCGGAGAACCTGTGTCTGACTTTCCCAAAAAACCAAAACCAAAACAAAAAAAATATATGTTGGGACAAGAATGTCACATGGAAAAATGCTGCCCTCTAGATGCATCGAAGGGAAGATAGTCAGCTGCCCACAAATGTTGTAAACAGACTCCATCTCTCTCTCTCTCTCTCTTTCTCTCTCCCAAGCATAAAATATTTCAATTTGTCTACTAACCCTAACCCTGTGCCATCCCTACGCCATCCGTCTGGTAAACTCGCAAGATTCGTTTTTCTCGCCATGCACGTGGATACATAACCCGAACTAGACTGTGTTGTTCCTCTGTGTCGTATGATAGATGTGGGTATATGCATAATTCTGTATTTATTTGTTTGTTTGTTTGCTTTTGTCATATTTATGTTGTGCATATCGGAGGTGGCGACCCTTGGAGAGCTGCATGCAACGAAATTTCATTTTAATGTATGCCGATTAGTGTACATCCAAAGTGACAATAAAGTTATTATTCTATTCTATTCTATTCTATTCTATATTCTATTCTATATTCTATTCTATTATATTATATTCTATATTGTATTCTATTCTATATTCTATATTATTCTATATTCTATATTATTCTATATTCTATTCTATATTCCATTCTATTCTATTCTATATTCTATTCTATCTCCTATTCTATATTCTATTCTATTCTATTCTATATTATTCTATATTCTATTCTATTCCATATTCTATTCTATTCTATTCTATATTCTATATTCTATATTCCATATTCTATTCTATTCTATTCTATTCTATTCTATTCTATTCTATATTATATATTCCATATTCTATTCTATTCTATTCTATTTTATTCTATTGTATATTGTATATTCTATTCTATTCTATTCTATTCTATTCTATTCTTCTATTCTATTCTATTCTATTCTATTCTATTCTATTCTATTCTATTCTATTCTAATGTCAGAGGTATTTATTCCATAAATAAGGCCTGCATCTACTCACCTGTATACAGGTCGGTGTCGGTGTATTCATCCACCTTTTTGTGATGCAAAATATAATCAGAGACTTTGGTTCCAATGGCTGGCTGGACATCTAACCACTGCAAGGAGACGACTGTGCTGGAAGGCTCCACGGTGGGAGAAAGACGCAAACTAGGCAGAAGAATGAAGGAAATTCACAATTCAGCTCTGACCCACAACTGTTCTTCTCTATTGATTTTTTATTTATTTTTTATTTTTTATTTTTATTTTTTTTAATTTGTATCCCGCCCTTCTCCCGACGGGACTCAGGGCGGCTCACAACATATTTAAAACAAAGGCATATATACAATCCCCCCCCCCCCCGTAAAACCGAATTAAACCAAATTTTAAAGTTGTGATTATTTCGAATTCCTTAAAATAAACCCAGTGTAAAATCCTCCCTAGGCCAGGTCCGCTTGCTGGAAAAGCCATGTCTTGAGGGCGCGACGGAAGGTAAGGAGATCCGGAATCGTCCGAATCTCCGAACCATCCACCCTGGTTCCCCCTAAAAATTTATTAAAACACCCCTGTAAAAACGTTCTCAACTTAGATAATTTAAATAATTTTTTGTCCGTGACCACTGCATGATATTACAAGTTGATGCAAAAAAAAAAAAAAAAAAAAGTGGAGTAGGGGATATTTCGGCTGGATTAAAAAATAAATAAAAATGCAGGCACCGTCCCTGTTGGAAAACAGATACTCACACAGGCTGGGGAAGTGGGCTGCAGCTGGGGAGGCCGTTGTCATCAAAGGCATTCAGGTCACACCGACACCAATCCTCAATCACGTCTCCTTTCCCGGAGCACCAGTAGGAGCTCATGAGGGCTGCCTTGAAGGCCTGGGAAGGAAGAACAGGTCAAAGATGGTGTGTGAACGGATGGCTGAGGCAGGCAGTGACAAAAACACGGCGAGTTGTACTAACTAGCCGGTACAAGAAGAAAGATGTTGGGGGGGGGGTCTTGAATTGTTCTTTGGGTCGATCTCAGTTGTGTGGTCTAGAACAGCCACATCCCTGATGTCTCTATGCTTCTGGAGATCTTTAAGAAGAGGAGACTGGACAATCACCTGTCTGAGATGGTGTAGGTTCTCCTGCTTGAGCAGGGGGCTGGACTAGAAGACCTCCAAGGTCCCTTCCAGCTCTTGTTGTTGTTAGTTGCGAAGTCGTGTTCGACCCATTGCACCCCATGGACAACTTCCTATTCTATTCTATTCTATTCTATTCTATTCTATTCTATTCTATTCTATTCTATTCTATTCTATTCTATTCTATTCTATTCTATTCCATTCCATTCCTTATTCTATTCTATTCTATTCTATTCTATTCTATTCTATTCTATTCTATTCTATTCTATTCTATTCTATTCTATTCTATTCCCTATTCTATTCTATTCTCTATATTCTATTATTCTATTCTATTCTATTCTATTCCCTATTCTATTCTATTCACACGCTCACATTTACACACCTACCAAAGAAGGTGAAGGCTAACAGAACAAAATAACAGAGTTGGAAGGGACCTTGGAGGTCTTCTAGTCCAACCCCTGCTCAAGCAGGAGACCCTATATCATTTCAGACAAATGTCTGTCCAGTGTCTTCTTAAAAGCCTCCAGTGATGAAGCACCTACAACTTCTGGTGGCAAGCTGTTCCACTGGCTAATTGTCTTCACTGTTAGGAAGTTTCTCCTTAATTCCAGGTGGCTTCTCTCCTGGATTTAGTTTCCATCCATTGTTTCTTGTCCTGCCTTCTGGTTTTTTGGAAAATAATTTGACCCCTCTGTTCTTTGTGGCAGCCCCTCAAGTACCGGGATACTGCTATCATGTCCCCCCTAGTCCTTCTTTTCTGTAGACTAGCCAAACCCAAATCCTGCAGCCCTTCTTCATGTGTTTTAGTCTCCAGGCCTTTATTCATCTTAGTTGCTCTTCTCGTGTCCAATTCCTTTGGGAATCTAACTCGACGAGGTCATGCAGGCTAATCTGATCACGCTTAATGTCATTTGTTTCTTACTGTAAGTTGGGCTCAGTTTAATCAGATCCTGCGGATACGCAGCGACAATTACGTCTTGCCACAACCTTTTAGAAATGAAGTTATTCCTGCAACACATCCATCAAGCTCCATCCTTTCTCGTCAAGAGTGAATTCATGCCACAGGCCTTAATAAGGTTATACAGGCCCACGCGGATGTCCATCGCTCTCTCCTGCTGCAGTTCCATTTGCCGATAGCTATCAAGCAACAGTTGACGTCAAACCCATACAGAAGAGAAGAACGGTTGCAGGAATTGGGTATGTCCACTCCAGGAGAAGAAAAAAACAGACCTAGGGGTGACATGATAGCACTGTTCCAATATTTGAGGGGCTGCCCCAAAGAAGAGGTGGTCAACTTATTCTCCAAAGCACCTGAAGGCAGGCCAAGAAGCAATGGATGGAAATTAATCCAGGACAGAAGCAACCTAGAATTAAGGAGACATTTTCTGTAACTGGGTAGTCAGTGAGTACCATTGCTCCTAACGTCTGCTTATTCCATTCTGCACTTTTGTGCCCTTAGTTTCTTTCTAAGTCTACGGCAAACAGAATTATCTCACTCAAATGTGTTCAACCCTTGACATTTTAAAGACGGCAAACAGAATTATCTCACTCAAATGTGTTCAACCCTTGACATTTAAAAGCTTGTGACTTCACCTTACAACCTCACCTTACGGAGAAGAGCCACAAAGATCTTTGGGAGACCAGAGGCTAAAACATATAAAGAACGGTTGCTGGAATTGGGGATGTCTAGTT